TACATAGGAAATCATATGATACACATCTAATTCATGTATCAAATCATAGACTAAACATTATAATCCACTTAGTACTTATGTATTAAACCTATTGTTGGATACATGATAATAATTTTCATAATTTTTTGATACATATTGGATTCCTTAAAATTTTTACTAATTTCAACAACAATTTTAAAATAAGTATAAAAATACAAACCCGAAACAATGTAGGCCTGACAACAATGTTTGCTGCTTCTTTTTTCTTTTTTTGTTGTATTTTGACAACCTTTGATTTTGATGTTTCGCCAGAGTCTTTGTTTGAATCCTTCTGAAGATTCATAGGATCATGAAAAGACTTTTTTCTATTTTCTTTCCAATTTTCATCGTCGGAATCATATATCCTTCTATTAATTAACGGATCAATTACTATGATGTAATAGAACAATTAACCAAAACAAAAAAAAGAAGAAAAGAAGAACTGATGATGGAATAATAAGAAAAAAAAACCAATAACAGATGTTTGGTTAAGAAGAATAGAGACGATGATGGAGTAAGAAGAACAATAAGAACGGGAGAGAAATTGTGCGGTTTTTTGAAATTTCAATTTTTTTGAATTTTGAAATTCAAAATTTCAAAATTGGGTGTTTTAATTAAAATTAATAATTCAAAATCCAAAAACTGATTTAGAAGATTGAGTGTGTTAGTGGAGAAAAAAGAGGCATTATATTGGGGGATTGTGTATTATAGGAGAGAGAATGTTATATATCTATACACTTCTACTAAAATTAAAAAAAAATTATGCAATATTTAAAAAAAGAAGGGAAAATTAGAGAATATAAAACTTATAGCTATGTATTTAAGTTATTTTTCCTTATAATAATGAGGGAAATTTAGAAATAGCAAAAATAATTTTTTTTAAAAAATATTAAATCTCTATAGTTACAGTTTCGATAATTGCACTCCGTAGTGATAGTTTTGATTGTCATGAAAGTTGTGGTTTGTATATTTCGCTTGTTAATCGTAAGTATAAACAAATGAAGGTTGTGCTCACTGGTTGCTTTCTCGTTTGTATATTCGCTTGCCCGCTTGTATATTTCGCTTGCGAATATACAAACATCTCAAATATATACAAATTTTATATTTATATAAATAGGAATTTTTCATAACCCTATTTGTATATTTCGCTTGTCAATACACAAACAGGACAATTTATTATGATTTTCTTATAAATAGTATTACAAAATAGCTAGGATAAGCATATACAAATTATGGATGTATACAATCGCGAACCTAATTAGACAAATTATAAATTTATACCTTCAGGAACTGAATTATACAAATTCTAAATTTATACCATTTGAAAACCAAAAAAGCAAAATTTCCCTAAACTATAGCTACAGATTAAAAATAATTGAAACTTATATTACATAACATACTAAATGTTTGCCCTTTCTAGTAATTTTCCCCATAATATGATACAAGATTTCAAACTTTCACTAAAAGCTTAAAATATCATATAAAATTATGATATTTTTATTCAAATTATTTGTTATCTTATTTTGCTTGTTTTAAAATGCTTCAACGACAATAAACAAAGATAACAAAATTTTGATAAACAAATAGAAATGAAAAGGAATGAAATAATTCATCAATTTTTAGATGCATTAATCATTAATTCAATTTAACAAGAAAGAAAGGTTCATTGATATAAGGAAATCAATTTCTTTCAAAACATAATTCAAAATCTATAATCGAAACGCTAACATAGGAAAATACTCTTTCCAATTATGTATACAAAGGAGTGAAACATTGATTATATCCCACTTTTATAAATCAAAGATTAGGTCAGGCTAGTTAAAAAATGATGGTGCTGTTATATACTCAAAATTTATTAAGTTACCTTTTTTGCTATTTGATTTATGAAAAAAATGTTTTATTTTCAAACCCTAGACTGCATTATTACAGTCCACTTTACTTTCCACTGACGGATGTTTTAGCTCAGTTTACGTATATCATCCAAGGCTCAAAAGAAAATAGCCTAATTTTTGCATCCACTGAATTATGAACATGAAACTTTATGGTTCTCTACTTATTTCATTGATCACAAGTAACAACAACAACATCATACCTAGTATAGTCTCGTAAGTGGTATAGAATATACGAAAACCTTATCCTAACCTTTGTGAAATAGAGAAACTGTTTTCCATGACTCAGTTTAGAGCATCATTCTTACTCATTAACTCCTAACAATAATTATGCAGGTGGTTACATCTTATCCTAGGAAATACTAATCAAGCTATCAAATCAAAACCATAAGTCAAAATGTTTGTTATAGAACAAGATGTTGGTATATTGCTTTTTCTTTTGTCAAATATAGACATTAAAGGTGTCACACCACATATGAAATCATCATGATCTTTGTGACCCTTTTAAAAGAGCAAATTCTAGAGTATATAAAAGCAATATTCTTCTTCTATGTATAATTAAAAACTTCATTTATTGGCTCTCTAATCACTTTATCTTCCTTTTGTTTATTATTTTTTAGATCTTCCAATCTTCAAAAACAAAAGTTTAGAACAAAAATCATGTAATGGGGGTCCATAAATCATTTGCATGATAAAGAATGTTTCAAAAAGAGCTAACAATCTTGAAGAATGGACTGCATATGTAGGGACCAATACTAAAAAATTTGAATAAAGAAAGGGGCAGCACAGTAAGGTGCACAAAGCATCTCGCATTAGCAGGATTCCGCACCCTAAGGGTGTGATGTAGACTACTTCCACGACTCGTACTTCTGACTTACAGGTCACACGAAGACAACTTTACCGTAGCTCTCGGGCTCCCCGAAAAACATATTCAAATCATAAACATGTAGGTAGTGATATAATATATCAATGTGGTCCATACATGATTTTTAAAAATTTGCTTTTGCATACACGACTAATAACAATATTTTAAAAGACTTTAGTTGTATTAGTCCTCCTCTGCTAGTGTCTGTTTTAAACAGTCAATATTGCACATTGCTACTGATCTCATCATGTCTCCAAATCTGCAATCATTCAAAATCAATAGTCAAACTACAACATGATGACATTATTAATCATATTGTGAGGCCATAAGTTAAAAGTATCAACAACACGTACAACTTTTACACTATCAGATCATCTAAAAGATAACTAGTTAATCTCATTCACAACGTGCAAAATAAGGAAGGTAAATTGTTATAACATGTTAAAATACCATCTATAATTCATCGTTTCATAATAAGTAAGATTAGTTACGTGGAGAATAAAGTAGGTATATTGCTACAAACATGTTAGAACAGAGAGATAGAGGTTGGATAACTATACGTGATCGTTCATAATAAGTTAAATGAGCTAGGTTATAACACGAAACGAGATGTTAAAGAACACACTGATAGTGTAAGAGTTCTTTACCGGTCAATGCTGTTCCGCCCTCTCTCAGATTGATCAGTGCTACTTCTTGATTTCCCAAAGTAATCCATACTTCTTCTTGGTTTTTCCCTCTTGTCAAAACTAATTCTTGGCTTCAATTTGCTGTCTGTGCTAGGCCTTATTGGAATGATCTGATCTTTTTGTTCAGTACTGATTCTCGACGACTTCTCAATCTCTTCAATACTTGGTCTACACTTGATTTCGTTCGTAATATCAAGAGTATAATCTAAGTTTATTATACTCTCCTCAACAGTTTGGCAATAATCTGACTGTCTTTCCAATGAAATTATGAACTTCTTGAGATGAGTAAAAAACTGAGGAAAAACTTGCAAGTCACAATGATTTCCTCCTTTTACCCATAAAGGTTCATACTTCATTTTACTCAGCTCCCAAAGCTTTTTACCATGTGAAATATCAACTATGTCATCTTCTGTACCCTGTACACCAACACCGTCACATGAATCGTAAATCTATGAATGTGATATATCAAGAAAACAATGGTTCGTAATGGACTAGACATCCGAGATTATGCAGGATTATACGTAAAAGATCCCCTTTTTCGGCTCTCAACAGTAATGATCATATCGAATACTCCTTCAATCTGTATGCTCTTTAAGAAAGACCTCAATCATAATAGCATTTGTGTAAATTACCCTATATATCTCCCCCTAAGCGTTTATCGGAAGGTACAGTTGGAAAACAAAAGTACTAAACTACTACTACTACTTGTTTTTCTAAAACGTCAGATATCTGAGAGCTAAAACGAGTAATACTTGAGATCGAAGAACTTACATGAATCACAAGAACGGGACAGCTAACATTTGGGATTTTATCAATGTTCTGCAGAAAACAGAAAAAACGAAAGAGAACTTGTTACTGTTAACATGTAAATCAAGAAACTTGATCAACTATTGAACTGAAACATGTGCTAACCTTGTAAATATCAAGCCAGAGAGAATACTTTATACGATACATAACTCGAAGCCCGGAAAGTATTGCACTTTGCAGAATTACACCTCTAATTTGAGGTAATTTTGTTGCTAATTCAAGAGTTGGACCACTTCCAATTGATTGTCCATATAATATAACGTCTTCTTCTTTCACTTCATAAATCTCTTTTAGACATTTGTAAACAGCTTCTATATCAGCATATGTGTTCTGCTCACTTGGCTAGTTTACACAAAAGCAATATAGAACGAAAAAAACTTAGATCATAGTTTAACTTCTATACCCGACAACAGAAATGAGAATCCATGAATAGTTATACTGTATTGTCACATAAAAGATAACTACAAGTAACTGTCGGTAATCAGTAGCAGATGTTGTACTACAACAGATAAAAGAATTACACTATTAGTGTATATAAGTTACATCCGTCTCGAAACTGAATTCATGAACATTGGCGAAACAAAGATTTTCACTGAGAGGATTCAGAACATGAAGAAGTAAAACATACGAAGAAGTTAAGGGGATTTAATATCTACTATATGTACATAAAAAACTAATTTTGACCATATATATGAACCCTCACTTATCGGAACCCCTTTATAGTACCCTAGCTCTGCCCCCTATCCACGACAACAACAGCAATAACTATGACTCGATCTCAAATTAGTTGGGATTAGCTATATGAACCCTCACTTATCCGAACCCCCTTCTAGAATCCTTGCTCCGCCCCCCGTCCACAACAACAACAATAACTACGAACTGATCTCAAACAAGTCAGGATCAACTATATGAACCCTCACTTATCCAAACCCCCTTCCGGTATCTTAGCTCTGCCCTTGTCCACAACAACAACACAATAACTACGTCGATGTCAAACAAGTCAGGATCAACTATATCAATCCTCACTCATCCGACCCCTTCCGGTATCCTAGCTCCGCCTCGGTCCACAACCATAACTACAACTCGATCTCAATCATGTCAGGATCAACTGTATGAATCCTCATTTGGAATTAGTTAATGAAAAGTGGAAATAATGGAGTGATTAGATCACATTTCTTTATGACATAAACGTGATTACCACTAAACAAACTTTATACTAACAAATAACATTTAATCCATTCATATATAAACTATAGTTCATCAAAGCATATATTTAATACACAATATTAGCAAAGTTTTGTTGTAAAGCTCAAGACTTTTCCAGCTCATAAAATAAAATGTATACACTAAAAAAAAATTTAAAAAAAGGCAAAAACACTTACTTCTCCATTAGACCTTCCATATCCAGCATAATCATATCTACAAAAATCAATCAAAATATCAAGAAAATACCAAAAAATCCCAAAAAAAAATCATATGAACATGCTAAACAATTGATTTACCCCATGACATTTACGCGTAATCGATCGCTTAGTTCAACGAAAAATTGAAACATTTGGCCTATATCAGCAGCATTTCCATGTGAATAAAGAAGTGTCATTGTTGCACCTTTGTTCCTAACAAAAACTGAAAAAATGTAATGACCCTTCTTTGTTTGTACAATTGAAACTTCACCTTTTTCACTTTGAGACACACCTAAAAGTTTCAATTTTTGTGTTTGTTCATCTATATCAACTTGATATGATGCTTCTGGTGGAAAAAAGGCTAATTTTGATGCAATTGTTGATGATACACCACCCATTTTATTTTATTTTTATTTTTTACAAAATAAAAAAAATAATCAAGAACATAATTTTATTTTTTTTGATGATTTTTGGAATTTGCTATTTTTGGTGAAGGAATGGAGAAATGGACTATGGAGGAGAGTTGTGGTCTTTAAAAAGAGAATGGCTTTAAAAAAAGTGCGGCAATTAAATAAAAAAAAGTATAACACTAATTAAATGGGATTAAAGGTACTTTAATGACAAAATCAAATTAATTTAAGTAAGTGGATTAGTTTGAGGTAAATTTAGATTTTGAGAATCTTTTATGTATATTTATTTTTTTTGTGTGTAGATTTTTTTTTTTTGGTTATTAATAAATTCTTTTAATAATCTAGGAGTAGGTACACACATCTTTGAATATTTCACTAGGTACTAGTGAGGCCGAAGCTATAATTGTAGTTAGGGGCATTGGCAATATTATCAGAAATATCGATAAGGATGTTTATAATTAATATGTTTGATATATATAAATAATATTATTTTTATATATATAATATAATTTTTTAACGAAAAAATTTAGTGATTGTTTCAATTTAAATTTATTATTTGAGTTAAAATTTACTTAATATGTACAAATGATTAATCAAAATTCCATAAACTAGCGATTGTTTCAATTTAAATTTAATATTTGAGTTGAAATTTACGTACTATGTATAAATGATTAATCAAAATTCCATAAACTAAAATCTTTTCAGAAATTATAACTCATAAATATAGAAGCTCGACTTTGTTACCATGATCTTTCATCTCAAGTTATTGACTAAGCCACATGGCGAATTATTAGTAATGTTGAATTCCTCTGTTCACGTATGAGAGTCAAACTGACTTATCTTTAAAGCTAAATTGAATTAAAATTAATTAAATATTTTAATTTTAAATTTAGATATTTTACAATTATATAATAATGTATTACAAGTTGTAATTTTTTTTATATTAATATCACAAAGAAAAATATATTTTAAATATTAATTAAAATTCATACTAATTAACTTTTTTTTTAAAAACGTGACATATAAAAATGAAAGACGAGAGTAATTGTGATACCTCTAAGTAAACCTCAACAAAGACTGTGAATTAGCCTCTTTGTTATCTAATTTTGAGTAAATGATATTAAGTGATGTCCAAATAATAATCATGAGGTGTAACACATGGTTATCCAAAAGTAAAATGTGTAAGCAGTAATTAAATGTTTTCTCAAGAAATGTCAAAAGTCAAAAGAAGTAGAAGGATTTTTCATAAGATATTATGAAAACAAATCCCACTTAGCACAAAAATTAAGGAAGTTGTTGATTAAAAATTTCTAAATTTAATTACAAAAATTAACAAGTCATAAAAAAAAAACCTAAAATGACCCCATTTTAAAGCAAGCATTCATAACATTGTGGACCTAAGTTTGTTAATATATAGGGGAACAAATTTATAATCATGACTTTTTTTTTCTTTTCCTTTTGACCTAGGTGTTAGTGCGCTCGTGAATGTTTTTTTTAAAAAATAATAATAATAATAATAATAATATATAAAATATTTCTTGTAAATTTTGATATTTTAAAGTTTTTTTCTTATTATTAGTGTCATGTGAATAGTAGTTGTTAGAGAAATTCATGAACTAACTTCTATTTCATCTTGCACTTATTTGGATTTTGTTTGGTGATAAGAAGGTTAAATAGCTTGTTATGCCTTCTATCTCATTTTAATTATTGCTTTAACTCGTTTTATATTTATTAAAACAATAATTGATACAAGATATAATTTGTTAAGTTATATATATTTATATATGTCTTTTTTAGAATATCAATTTTAGTGTTTGAATTCTTAAAATGACAATTATTCCAGGATAAATTTTTTGTTTTGTACATGTTGTGGCCTTAAATTTTATTCTCTCCCTTTTTTTGGCTTGAAATGTTGTGTGAAATACAAATTACTATCTTGCTTTAAGAAGTTATCTACCTTTTATTCTTCATCTTTTGCACTTTCACTCGGAATCTATTAATAGCGTATGTTGAATTTTATTCCTAAAGTGTTATAAAAAAAATTTCCTTGCACCCTCCACAATTTTAGTCACACTACCTTGTATTAATAAAAGAAAAATATTTTCAATAAACCTATGATTCAAATAATATAGTTCTGTCATGTTAAAATTACAATCCACAAAAAATGATATTTATCACATAAAATGGACTAGGCCAACTTGTCTCATTTTTCTCCCACACATCATCATGATAAACTCATTTACAATACATTTATATTAAAGTGGAAGAAAGAATACGTACCAAAGTTCATCTATGCCCAACCAAATTTTGTAGTAAAAATTAAAGGAATCCCATAGTGTAAGATGAGAATTACAATTTATCCTAACTAATTTACATTTTACAGAAAATCTCTTAAAAAGGTTGGCGTGTGATTCATGGCTATCATCTGATACATAGTAAATGATACATAGTAAA